ACTCTAAATGTGTTTGGACGCACTCTAAACGTGATTTGGTGCACTCAAAACATGTTTAGACGAACTCTAAACATGTTTGGACGCACTCTAAAAGTGTTTTAATGCACTCTAAACATGTTTGGATGCACTCTTAGTATGTTTTGACGCACTTTTAAACAAGTTTGGATGCGCACTCTAAAAATGTTTTGATGCACTCTAAACATGTTTGGATGCACTCTTAGTATGTTTTGACGCACTTTTAAACAAGTTTGGATGCGCACTCTAAAAATGTTTTGATGCACTCTAAACATGTTTGGATGCACTCTAAAAGTGTTTGGACGCACTCTATACGTGTTTCGACGCACTTTAACTATGTTTCGATGCACTCTAAATATGTTTCGACACATTCTAAAAATAATTCGATGCAATCTAAACATGTTTGGATGCTCTCTAAAATTGTGTGGACGCACTCTAAATGTGTTTGGATACACTCTAAAAGTGTTTGGACGCATTCTAAACGTGTTTGGACGTACTCTAAACGTGTTTGAACGCCTCTAAACATGTTTGGATGCACTCTAAGTATGTTTGGATGCACTCTAAACATGTTTCGACGCACTCTTAAAATATTTCGATGCTCTCTAAATATGTTTGGATGAACGCACTCTAAACGTGTTTGGATGCACTCTAAGTATGTTTTGAAGCACTTTAAACATATTTGGATGCACTCTAAAAGTGTTTGGACGCACTCTAAACGTGTTTGGACGCACTCTAAACGTGTTTGGACGCACTCTAAAAGTGTTTGGACGCACTCTAAACGTGTTTGGACGCACTCTAAACGTTTTTTAATGCACTCTAAACGTGTTTGGATGCACTCTAAGTATGTTTGGATGCACTCTAAACATGTTTCGACGCACTCTTAAAATATTTCGATGCTCTCTAAATATGTTTGGATGAACTCTAAGTATGTTTTGACGCACTTTAAACATGTTTGGATGCACTCTAAATGTGTTTGGACGCACTCTAAACGTGATTTGGTGCACTCAAAACATGTTTAGACGAACTCCAAACATGGTTCGACGCACTCTAAAAATGTTTTAATGCACTCTAAACATGTTTGGATGCTCTCTAAAATTGTGTGGACGCACTCTAAACATGTTTGGACGCACTCTAAAAGTGTTTGGACGCATTCTAAACGTGTTTGGACGCACTCTAAACGTGTTTGAACGCACTCTAAACGTGTTTGGATGCACTCTAAGTATGTTTGGATGCACTCAACATGTTTCGACGCACTCTTAAAATATTTCGATGCTCTTTAAATATGTTTGGATTCAGTCTAAGTATGTTTTGACTCACTTTAAACATGTTTGGATTTACTCTAAATGTGTTTGGACGCACTCTGAACGTGATTTGGTGCACTCAAAACATGTTTGGATGTACTCTTAGTATGTTTTGACGCACTTTAAACATGTTTGGATTGTTGAGATATACCGGATCTTGAACAATATTACATGATATATCGTATATTGGAGATCTTATCAAATCCGGAAAATATATATTTAGAATATTTATTATTATATCTACTTTACTTATTCAATGTAAGACTCTCATCTATTTATATGTTATTTTGATTATCAATAAAACATATCATTCCGCAAATTTCTACATGGTATCAGAGCTTCTGGTTCTTTTCTAATTTGTTGTTCTTTTCATAAAAATGATGATCGATAATGAGAGTGGAGATGAAGATGATGATATATCTGTCCAGTGGTAATATCATTTCGAGTTTTTTTTAATTAAGAATAAGAGTCATTTTATTTTTGTTTTTTTTATTTTCTCTCATAATCCCACATGTTTCTAAACATTATTCGTATAACCGCCAATCATCTTATTCTTTCCAAAACATGTTTGGATGCACTCTAAATGTGTTTGGACGCACTCTAAACGTGATTTGGTGCACTCAAAACATGTTTAGACGAACTCTAAACATGTTTGGACGCACTCTAAAAGTGTTTTAATGCACTCTAAACATGTTTGGATGCACTCTTAGTATGTTTTGACGTACTTTAAACAAGTTTGGATTGTTGAGATATACCGGATCTTGAACAATATTACATGATATATCGTATATTGGAGATCTTATCAAATCCGGAAAATATATATTTAGAATATTTATTATTATATCTACTTTACTTATTCAATGTAAGACTCTCATCTATTTATATGTTATTTTGATTATCAATAAAACATATCATTCCGCAAATTTCTACATGGTATCAGAGCTTCTGGTTCTTTTCTAATTTGTTGTTCTTTTCATAAAAATGATGATCGATAATGAGAGTGAAGATGAAGATGATGATATATCTGTCCAGTGGTAATATCATTCCGAGTTTTTTTTAATTAAGAATAAGAGTCATTTTATTTTTGTTTTTTTTATTTTCTCTCATAATCCCACATGTTTCTAAAGATTATTCGCATAACCTCCAATCATCTTATTCTTGCCAAAACATGTTTGGATGCACTCTAAATGTGTTTGGACGCACTCTAAACGTGATTTGGTGCACTCAAAACATGTTTAGACGAACTCTAAACATGTTTGGACGCACTCTAAAAGTGTTTTAATGCACTCTAAACATGTTTGGATGCACTCTTAGTATGTTTTGACGTACTTTAAACAAGTTTGGATTGTTGAGATATACCGGATCTTGAACAATATTACATGATATATCGTATATTGGAGATCTTATCAAATCCGGAAAATATATATTTAGAATATTTATTATTATATCTACTTTACTTATTCAATGTAAGACTCTCATCTATTTATATGTTATTTTGATTATCAATAAAACATATCATTCCGCAAATTTCTACATGGTATCAGAGCTTCTGGTTCTTTTCTAATTTGTTGTTCTTTTCATAAAAATGATGATCGATAATGAGAGTGAAGATGAAGATGATGATATATCTGTCCAGTGGTAATATCATTCCGAGTTTTTTTTAATTAAGAATAAGAGTCATTTTATTTTTGTTTTTTTTTATTTTCTCTCATAATCCCACATGTTTCTAAAGATTATTCGCATAACCTCCAATCATCTTATTCTTGCCAAAACATGTTTGGATGCACTCTAAATGTGTTTGGACGCACTCTAAACGTGATTTGGTGCACTCAAAACATGTTTAGACGAACTCTAAACATGTTTGGACGCACTCTAAAAGTGTTTTAATGCACTCTAAACATGTTTGGATGCACTCTTAGTATGTTTTGACGCACTTTTAAACAAGTTTGGATGCGCACTCTAAAAATGTTTTGATGCACTCTAAACATGTTTGGATGCACTCTAAAAGTGTTTGGACGCACTCTAAATGTGTTTGAACGCACTCTAAACGTGTTTGGATGCACTCTAAGTATGTTTGCATGCACTCTAAACATGTTTCGACGCACTCTTAAAATATTTCGATGCTCTCTAAATATGTTTGGATTCACTCTAAGTATGTTTTGACGCACTTTAAACATATTTGGATGCACTCTAAATGTTTTTGGACGCACTCTGAACGTGATTTGGTGCACTCAAAACATGTTTAGACGAACTCTAAACATGTTTGGACGCACTCTAAAAGTGTTTTAATGTACTCTAAACATGTTTGGATGCACTCTTAGTATGTTTTGACGCACTTTAAACAAGTTTGGATGCGCACTCCAAAAATGTTTTGATGCACTCTAAACATGTTTGGATGCACTCTAAAAGTGTTTGGACGCACTCTATACGTGTTTCGACGCACTTTAAGTATGTTTCGATGCACTCTAAACATGTTTCGACACATTCTAAAAATAATTCG